AACCTAATGAGGATTAGGAAAAGAAGACTCGTTGGGTTGATTCTATATTAGAAGAATGGAAAAAGTCCTGTTCTTTCAATAACAACAAGTATTTTTGAATCAAATAAAATAACTTTTTTTATCTTATCTAATTTGTTGCAACAAAAAATAAAAAATGGCCCGTGACACGGGCCAGGACGCGGAAATAAAAAAAGACTTTTCGGACGAAATGAAAAAATAAAAATAAAGAATAGATTAAAAAAAATATATAGAATTCTAATTTCTAATATTAATATTAGAATATTCTATTAAAATTCAAATATTAATAATTATAATAATTATTAGAATAATATATTATTAATATAATATTAATTATTTAATTTAAATAGTAAATTACTATAATACTAAATAATACTAATTAGAATAATAATATAGTAATATAAAAATAATAATAGTAATAAAAAAATAGTAATAAAAAAGGTAAAAAAAAAAAAGAAAGTATAGAAGAAGGACTTTTTTTTTCAAGCCCTACTTGTTGTGTATTGTTGTGTAATGTAACATAGGAATTATCTTTTCTCAATTGGGAGAGATGGCTGAGTGGACTAAAGCGTCGGATTGCTAATCCGTTGTACGAGTTATTCGTACCGAGGGTTCGAATCCCTCTCTTTCCGGTTCCGTTGATGACTTGGTATTTTTTTTTTCAAGTCTTTTTCTTTATTTATTTTCTAATAGTTAAAGATGTAGAATAGATAAAATTCTAAGAACATTTAATAAAAATAATAAAAATAAAAATCAAGTAAGGAAAAAGCCTTATTTTTTTTTTTATTCTTCACGTCCAGGATTACGCCCTGGATCATTAGATAAAAATCCAAAGATGAAAAGGGAAACAAAGAATATTACTACTGTGTAAACAAAGAGTTTGAGAGTAAGCATTAGACAATCTCCAAGATCTTTTTTTTTTGTTTGGAAAAAAAGAAAATAGATTCTCTATTTTTATACCATATATCCTATTTTGACACCAAGAAATGAAGTGGTTTCTAGAAATTTTTCGAAATGGAAAGGCATTTTTCTAAATTCATTTGTAATAAGAGTCGAGTCTTTCGTGCCAAAAATTTTCTTTCATACCGAAAATTAGATATTTCGGGGGGCTCTAACCGAATAGGTTTCTTTTAATAGAATGGAAAAAAGAGGAGCATGGGGTAGGTAATCTATATTTTTCACGTTTATACAATAACTTCAATGTTTGAATCAAGGGCCTATACTATAAGACTTATCTGATCTTATCAATTATTAGAATTTTTTATCTTGAATAAATCATGAATTATTCTAGGACAGTATTCAAAATCTCATCGAAAACTTACAGCAGCTTGCCAAACAAAGGCTAATAGAAAAAAGAACAGAGGGATTACTGGCATAACATCTACGATTGGATTCAAAAAAGCGTAGGCTTCAGGCAATTTTGTGAAGAAAAAACTGCTTGAATCAAGGGCAAAATTAAGACAGATACAAATCAAATTTAAAATATTAAGCATAACAAACATTTTGTTCTTGAAGATAATTGTATTTTGACTGAGTTATTAATATTCATATAAAAATGGATATAAATTAATATTAATATAAAATAGAGTTAAGGTAGACAAAAAACTTTAAACTCAGCCAATCAAAAATCCTTCAATTATCAGCTAAAATAAAGAATAAAAGAAATCATATTTTCATACAATATCTTAATGGAATTCTATATTATGATCAATAAATTCAGTTTAATTCTATATCTACACATATCAAAATACGAACAACAAGCTAATCCAGTTCATAGATATTTTGGGGGACGGGAATTGACAAAGAACCAATACCAATATTAGTTTTATTAGTTTTGAATCAAAATAGAAATGGGGCGTGGCCAAGCGGTAAGGCAACGGGTTTTGGTCCCGCCATTCGGAGGTTCGAATCCTTCCGTCCCAGAGCATATTTCTTTTCTATATCAAAATTATATATATCAAAATAAAGATTGTTTTTTTGAACAACAAAAGTAAGACGGGTTTTTCATTATATCTTTATCCTCGGGCTGGTTTAGGGTAAAAAAAAAAGGAAACAATGAATTCATCTGAACCTCTTTGGCTTTGTACCTATAAAAAGAGAGTCTAGCATCCAATAAGATGGAATCGTTCTTTATTTGAATTTGATTTCTCATTCATTATCCCACACCCCATGATCATTTTCAATGTGTGTTCGAATCTCATTAACAAACAAAGAAAATACATATGTTACACATTTCTTTTTCGCCCTATTCATTTGTTTTATTTTAAATCATTGATGGTTTAATCTGAATCTGAATATGGGATTTATCTCTTTTATGATGATAAAACGGAGTCCTTACTATAAACTATAAAACGTTATTCAAATAATGATATCGAGATAAGCTATTTTTTAATTTAATAATTTAATTCGTTTAATTTAATGATTTTTTATGAGTCCTTGGTACTTGAAGAAGTGTGGGATTCACGACTCGGTCCTATCGAGTCACTTGAAGATGAAGATTCGAAGAGAACTACTTATTTCTTCGTCTTATCTTATTGGTTTGCTAATATTCGTATTGGAAATCAAAAAATATTTATATGATTCAATAAAATATCAATAAAATATGGGGTTAATTTGAATTAATTCTTTTGTTTTCTTCATTGTGTATTTTTTTATTAACAGATTTACATTCATATTGACAACAGTGTATCAAATAAATATAATCCGATCTGGGTAATTAGATCTTATCTGTAGATTTATTTATATCTATTCCAGTGGTTTGGTTTTTTTTTTTTTTTTCTTCATTCAAATGAAATGATAGGTTTATTGGATTTGCTGTGATACAAAAGTCTTTTTTTGATTGGGAAAAAAAAATGGAAATGTATTGAATGTATTGTTATATTAGAAAAATGTATAAAAATGAATATTTCCATTTTTTAATATAAGAATAGATAGCATAAGAGACAAGAGATAATCTATAAATTTTGACTTTATTAAACTTTATCTATACTTTATTTAAATTTAACTTTATCTATTTTTTTATCCGAATCAATTAGAAATTTTTCTATTTCATTTCGTGTTCATTTCTTGTTAGTTTAATGTTTTGATTGTGTCGTACGATTCAATCTCTTTATTTATTCTCTTTGATTTATTTTGATTTTTGATTCCGATTCTATCTACATAACCTAATTATTTGTATTTGGGTTGCTAACTCAATGGTAGAGTACTCGGCTTTTAAGTGCGGCTAACAGCTTTTACACATTTGTACGAAGAAAGGGATTCGTCCATACCATCGGTATTATTTGTAAGACCACGACTGATCCTGAAAGGAATGAATGGAAAAAACAGCATGTCGTATCAATGGAGAATTCTGAGAATATTTGATTCTTACCGGATCGGCTCCAAAGAAACCTTGTTTGAATTCTTGGTGCGTAACATAAAAACAAATGAATTCAAATTCAAAGTTGGGGTTGGGTCGAGTTAATAAATGGACAGAGCTCCGCGGCTCCAATTATAGGGAAATAAAAAAGCAACGAGCTCCCGTTCTTAATTTGAATGATTTTCCGATCTAATTAGACGTTAAAAATAGATTAGTGCCTAGTGCGGGAAAAGCTTTTTCTTGAGTGGATTTTCGATTTTTTTAATGAGTCCTAACTATTAGCTATTCTCCACTATGAAGGGGAGTTGAATGTGTAGAAGAAAAAGTATATTGATAAAGCAATTTTTTTTCCAAAATCAAAAAAGAGTGATTGACTTGAAAAATTAAAGGATTTCTAGTCACCTATTACCCTATAAATGAACATAAACCAATTAGAAATGAACATAAACCAATTAGATGGAAAAAAGAGAGGATAGAGGGTCCGTTGGTGAGTTTAACTATTTCCGAGGTATCTATTCTTTTTATATTATACTATTTTGTTTTTATGGTATCGCACTATGTATCATTTAATAACCCAATAAACTCCCTATCTTTGCTTCAATCAAATCGAATTAAAAATGAAAATAGAGAAATCTCAAAGAAATTTAGAAATAGATAGATCTCGAAAAAATGACTTCCTATACCCACTTATCTTTCGGGAGTATATTTATACATTTGCTCATGATCGTGACTTAAATAGATCTATTTTGTTAGAAAATGTAGGTTATGACAATAAATATAGTTTACTAATCGTAAAACGTTTAATTACTCGAATGTATCAACAGAATCATTTGATTATTTCTGCTAATGATTCTAACCAAAATACATTTTTTAGGTATAACAAAAATTTGTATTTTCAAATGATATCGGAGGGGTTTGCAGTTATTGTGGAAATTCCATTTTCCTTACGATTAGTATCCTCTTTAGAAAGATCAGAAATAGTAAAATCTCATAATTTACGATCAATTCATTCAATATTTCCTTTTTTAGAGGGCAAATTCCCACATTTAAATTATCTGTCAGAGGGACTAATACCGTACCCCATCCATCTAGAAAAATTGGTTCAAATCCTTCGCTATTGGGTGAAAGATCCCTCCTCTTTGCATTTATTACGACTCTTTCTTCACGAGTATTGGAATTTGAACAGTCTTATAAAGAAATCTATTTCCTTTTTTGTAAAAAAGAATCAAAGATTCTTCTTGTTCTTATATAATTCTCATGTATATGAATACGAGTCCGTTTTCTTTTTTCTTTGTAAGCAATCCTTTCATTTCCGATTAACATTTTATCAGGTCTTTCTTGAGCGAATATATTTCTATGGAAAAATAGAACATTTTGTAGAAGTCTTTACTAAGGATTGGGGGGACAGCCTATGCTTGCTCAAGGATCCTTTCATACATTATATTAGATATCAAGGAAAATCCATTTTTGTCTCAAAGGATACGCCTCTTCTGATGAAAAAATGGAAATATTACCTTGTCAATTTATGTCAATGTCATTTTGATGTGTGCTTTCAACCCCAAAAGATCCATATAAACCCATTTTCATTATACAAGCATTCTTTCGCCTTATTAGGTTATCTTTC